TACATTCAATTCATTTTTCAAAAGAACTGCAGCAGTCCAAATTTGTCCTAAAAGAGTAATTTCATTCCTGGGACTGCTAATTCTTCACTTACTTTGAATAATGAAAAAAGGACGGAATACAGCTTCAGTTCTTTGAAACACATGCATGCAAAAGACATGCCTTTCTTCCAAACATAAATGGCAGATGTGAGAATAATTAAATATATCATATCTGACAGATGATTTCAGTGTTTTTTTCCCTGCTGCCAAAGATTTCTTTCTTGCATTCATAGGAATTTTCTAGCAGAGTCTTATCACTTAAATGTGCTGTATTCAAAGTTTACTATTTAAAAAATTTAAGTTTAATGTTTTTTTAGGGTTCAGTTTTTCAATATTATTAAAAAATTAAATAGAGAATAAATTTGCATAGCAGATAAAAAGTACTTTGTTATGTCAAAGTTCCGTCGAAAGTTAATTTTTTATAGTTAATAAACAGTGTAACTCTGTAAGCCCATATCTCTAACTGGAAAGGCTATTTCTTTCATTGCTTTTAATTTGAGGTAATGTTGATAGCTGAAAATGGATGGATTTAGTGTGCAAAAAATTGTAAAAGTGAAAATCAGGTTTCACTTTCTTTCACATAATGTATGATTTGTTCTTCCAAAATATTTGAAAGCTAAATTAACAGCATACTCATTAGAGAAAGTCTACATTTTGAGAAACTCATTTGTTGTTTCCCTTTCTTAGTTTTAGTTGTATTTGAGTTAATTATGTAAGAAAGCATTTAATCATGTGCAAAGACATAACCAAAATTCTTAGAGCTCAGTTCCTAAAATTAGTGCCAGAGCCCTATGGAAGGGTGTCAGGCATGAGAAACAAAAATAAATAAAATAATTACTAATTAAAATTTAGCAAATGTAAATCGATAATAACAATTGGAAGTGAAGCATGGCAATGTAAAACTCAAAATTAGATAAAGTAGCAGTTTTATTTTGGTGTAGATTTTGAACAACACTCTGTTGATTTCATGGGTGAACAGACACAAGTCCCTCTTCTTCAGGAGCTAAAGGAATTTTGTATTCTGCTTAAGCCAAAATGAGGTTGCTGTTTCGCGTAATTTTGAGATAAATAAAAGTTTAATAAACCATTAAATAAACGATAAATATTGTTAAATTATAAAACAAAATACTGGACCTCATTTTATTTGGGGCTCAGCTGGAATAATAATTTTGCTGAAAACTAAATATAGCAGAGCCAGGCTCCAGATGAATTGCACCTGTAGTACCTGTAACAGTGTTTCAATGCTTTGCCAGATAAGTGGCAAGACCCATCACTCTCATGCATTCAGAATAAAGTCTAAGTAGTAACAGCAAAATGTTGACACAGCAAACAGACTGTATACCTCTCCATCTATACTTCTTTCCATTTAATTTCGTATGAATAATAATTATATCTATATTTTAATATTTTGACATTATTCTTTTTACACTATTTCATACATTGCAAAGAAATGTCCAAACACTGGAGCTTTCAAAATTTAATTTCATGAGTTGATAATATTGGGTATTATTTTACAACAAGGTAATTTAAATATTTGTAATTAAAATATTTGTATACTTTTTTTATATATTTATCCTTTATATTTTTAAAGATTTTTAATGGCAGAGCCTTCTTTGAAGTATTAAACTGCAATCTAAAGTTTTTTTTTAATAACGAGATTTTATAATCATTAATAATTTATAAGAAACATTAGTCACTTTCAGAAATGGTTGGTTTAGGAAGATGATCAGCAAAAGGTATGCATACATTCCCTATGAGCATTTGTATACATAAACTTGTGTTATTCAAGTGATGCATAAATAAAACAGCTATTGATGCTGATTTATTCATCAAAATTTCAAACAAATTCCAAGGAAATGTTCAAAGAATTCTAATTACTTCCTCAAGCTAATTTAACATGATATTTCTTATAATTATTCTCAGCTAATGTACCTTTATTTGAACTCAATTTAAATTCTTTGTGTTTGATGTAACAGCAATTCTAAATAGTAAATTTTATTTACAAATAAACGACAATTTAAAGGAATTTTTTTTTAAAACAGCCCCTCAGTTATTCTCTGAAGACTACCTTTTAAAATGTGCAAATTGTAAAAAAAAGGGCTTTTTTTTTCTTAAATAACAAGTGTTTCAATTAAAATGCAGAATTCATTTGTTGATATATAAATTTTCAACGGAGAAGAAGAAAAATAACATGCAGAAAAGAATAATAAGAAATATGCAGTAAAGAATAATAAGAATATGCAGCCAAATGACAATTAAAATAAAAGCATATAAACCTACATGTACACAAACACATGCATGATATTAACTGTCGTGGGTTGACTGTTCTTTCATGCAAACCCAAAATTAGGCCAAATGTTGAAATCCAGTTTGGGCATAATAAGAAAGTATCTTAAGCATTTCCAGGTCTGCCTTTTAAATATCATATTTTTATCATTTTGCCAGATAAATCTTTCACCTTCTTCATTAGTAAATGTAAGTTCTTCAATGGTTTCTTTTGAAATAAAATATTTGAAGATTGATAAAGTATTTGTGAATTGCAGTTTTACAAATTTAGTGAAACTGTCAAGAAAATTTGAAATATTACACTTCAAAACTTAGTTTGGAGCTTGTACTAAATATGATAACCTATTTTAGAACAAAGTTATTTTATTTTTGGAAAACTAAATAATCTTTCCTTTCTTTAGTATTATCTTCATTTGTAAATGCATACTTCTTTCTGTATCATGCTATTGAAATGAGCATATTTTAATGCATGCAATGTATTGTAAAACAAAAAGGGAGCAACTGTATGCTCTCCCAAAGAAATCTTGTGATTTTATTTTTATGACGTATTGTAATTTATACAATTACTGAAATTTTTGTCCTGTATTTTCTTGTACCATATCAAAGACTATTTAGTTGTACAATAGTAAATTCCTGTAATTCTATCCATGAGTATAGCTTAAATTGATAATTTTGATATTTTAATACAGTAACATGAGATTTTTTTCCCCTTAAAGTATCATGATTGCTTTTTTTTTTTTTTTTTTTTTTTTTTTTTTTTTTTTGTAGTTTACACTGGCTTTCAAAAGTTTAGCACATGATGGTAAAATTAACAGGAACCGAGAGGTAAAGCTTTGATTAACTCCAAATTGCACATCAAGGTAACAAATGTAAATAAAACAAATGCTTGAAATAAAACAAATAAAGGTTAAAGCAATAATAGTCATAAATTATATGATGATGTAACATTTGGGTCATTAACAGATTTAAGTTTAAAGCAAAAAGCAAGCAAACAAATCTTGCATTAATTAAGGTATGTGACCACTCAAGACTTTTGCAGAAGCTTCACAAACTATTGTCCATGCTTTCAGTGAAGTAATCAACCATCATAAATCCTGGCAATGGTCATTCCTCTATTAGGATAGTTTCCACCTATCAGAGACTGGCAGGAGAAAGTAAATATGCTGAGACAACATACACAAGGGTATCCTAATGATTTTCAGTTAGATTGAGGGCAGAGGAATATGATGGCTTTTCTATACAAGAAATGCCATCATTTTCAAAATACTTGTTGATTCGATGGTGACGGGCATTATTATGCATAAAAATGAAATCAGGACCATTTCTGCAACATAAATTTCTCACAATCGGATGTAGAATTTCATTTCGATATTTTTGAGCTATCGCAGAATCGTTTTTTAACGATGTGCAGCTGTGTGTGATATCCGATCGAAATTCCAGCTTGTGCTATATACTGGGTCTGATTCCATGTGTCTTGTCATCAGATCCGTACATGCTTATGTGATTACAGGGAAAATATGGGCTTGTAATAAGATGCTTTGCTGGTCTGATACGGTCTAACTGGGAATGTCGACAACACCATTTTTATATTGCCCCTGTTGATTATGTGGTTAGTGAAACACAGACACTTGCTACTTAAGCAATGTTTCCTTTCATGGTAGGCCTTCAGCTCACATTACTGGCAAATATCATACCCATTGACACTGCAGCCATGGATGTAACAGTTGTGGAGGTTGCTTCTTGATTCTGCTTGGCTTCTACAGCAATATATACTGATCTTCAGAAAGTATAGTAACCAATGGTCAAATGGATACAGCTTTCTGGCCAGTTTTTTCACTTCTTTGGAATTGTTTCCACATTCAAAAAATTACCAAATGATCAATGTCAAACAAAAGAGTAACATCTTTGATTGACTGTCTTGCTTCAGTGCCTCTGACAGCATGTCACTGCTCATTATCTGCCAGTTTTCTTTCACCTGTAACAGCATGAATATCATAAAAAATTATGCTTGTATCAGCTTTTAAATGAACCTCCTCAAACCTTTGAGAATGCTGGCAACTTTGACTACCTAATTAGCTTATATTCAGGCAGCCAATCATGTTTCGCTGTAACCTATGACATCTGCATACTGCTTAAACTGCATCCACAGTGATTTCCAGCCATTCAAGTCCAAATATCCATTTAAAATTTGGTGATTTGCATTGCATTCTTAACTTTTAGAATCCAGTATATATGTTTCATTTACATAATTTGATGTTGATTATGAAATATTGTATAATTTATTTTTGATAAAGTCACATTTCATTCATTTTCACTGAACAGTTAACAAGAAGTTGCCATTTTGGGAAAGTGTAAATTTAATTTTGAGAATTTAGACTTTCCATGGTAAATATGGTCTTGAGACTTTTAAAAAATGAGATGGGAAATACAGTGATCATAATTTCAAGTTACATAATTCTTTTAATGTAACTGACTAAAAGTTCTGCTCAAAATTTTAAAAAATGCCCCCCCCAGAAATTTTATACAAAATGTACTCTGAATTTTAATCAGACATATATTTAATTTTCATCATATTAGACTTTCAGTCATAGAGCTATACTTAATTTTCTTTTCAGCACAGTTCTTTTGCTGATACTTTTATTATTATTCGAGATTATTTTCAATTCATTTTTCAGGTAATGGCATTCGCTGGGAAACGAGTGAAACAAGTTTCATGTGGAAGCAGAGATGCACAGACTCTGGCATTGACTGATGATGATATGGTTTATTCCTGGGGTGATGGAGATTTTGGGAAGCTTGGTCGTGGAGGCAGTGAAGGCTGCCTTGTTCCTGAAAATATTGAATCCCTTAATGGCCTTGGTGTAGTTCATGTTGAATGTGGAGCCCAGTTTTCATTGGCATTAACTAATTCTGGTCAGGTCTGGACATGGTAAACTTGACTTTTTTTAAATCATTTTATTGCAAGGGGTACCCAAAAGTTCATGAAATCAGGGAAATAAAAGGCAATCCTTTTTTGTTTACTCTTACATTTGACACTCCTTACTTTCCTTTTGGAAGAGAGGTACATATGTTCATTTCAGGCAGTATGTTCTGACCTGTCTTTTGATTTAATTGCTAGTGAACAAGAATTGCATGTGTGTAGTGCATTTTTGCAAATATGGGAAATGTGTTGTAGAAGTGCATGAAATGTTTTTGCCCAAAAGGTAACAGATGATTCATTTCATTGAAAAAGGGTGCCAAAAAATTAGATTCTTAGTCTTGATAATGTACCAACTTATACCTCATTTACTGTTTTTTATGACAAAAATAGCAATTCTACCTTACTGGTAAGCTTTAACTCCTTATGGCCTCTCTTAAAATGAAACTAAAACTAAATGAAGGAAATATTTAACATCTCTTACAAAAAATGACTTTGTGTCTCCACTACTGGGAACATAGCTGGAATTATGGAATTAGCATTTATGATCCAGTGGAAAATTCTTCAGAGGTGATGGACTATAATAATAATAAGATACATTGATTAATTTTTATTAAGAGATTTCAAGAACTTTTGAGCTGCTTCTAGTACATATTTTTAACACTGTTGAATAATGTGTGTTATTGTATAATGTCAGTTGTCATATTGTATTATTTGAATTTTTTAAAATTATTCTAGGGGAAAAGGTGATTATTTCAGACTAGGCCATGGAGAAGAAAGTCATGTCAGAAGGCCACAGTTAATTGAAAGTTTAAGGGACAAAAAAGTTATACATGTTGCTGTTGGTGCACTTCATTGTTTGGCTGTTACAGACAGTGGTCAGGTGAATATGTGTATAAATGTATCATATTAAGATTGGTTATCATATATGATTCCTTAAATCCATAAACTATGCATTTTCTAAATTATGAAAATCTGTCTTACTCTGAAAATTATAGGCTAACATCTGATTGAACCTGGTTCTAGAAATTAAATGCTAAAAAAGAAGCAATTTATTCATTGTAAGCAATTCAATCATTTTACCCACACATTTTTCAAACTAAACCTAAACTAACCTACTTTGAAAAAGAGAAAATATGTATGTAAAATACTGAAAATACGATGGCTTTGCTCTACGCGAACAGGCAACCTCTAAGTAACTTTCCGCAATTTCAGGATCTTGCCCCTAGTCCAGTACTTTCGAGAACATTTGGACATGTTGTGTAACCACTGCTATAAATGAGGAGTTTATAGCACCATTTTTGGTCAGACCACTTTCTCCCTCTACTGCTGTTAAAACCTATGCTACCGCTCTTCTCATTGGCCTCCCTTTGTTTGAATAGCATCTCGTAGTAAATTTAAAGTTAATACAGTCAAAAGTCGTTAATTCGGACACCCATAATCCGGACCCCAAAGCTAAAAACTTTCTGCGCATGCGCCGCGTTGGCACATGCGCACAGGCGTTTTACGCGTGCGCATAAGACCTTGATTACTGCGCATATGCGTGTGCGCAAGTGCAGAATACGTTTTCACCTGCGTGTTTAATGTATAACGGACAGTGAAAGCTAAAATTATCTAATTATCTATTTCAGTTAATATTAATGATTGCGTTGTTCCTTAATCTTTGAATTGGATCCCGCTTATTATTTTTTGCAGACTGTAAGAGCAATTTCATAAAAGTAAACTTGAACTTTCGATTATGTCAAATAGAATTTCCGATGTTGGAACTGTTGGCAGTGGTGATAAAGGCAAAGCATATTTTGCTTTCCTTAAATAAAGCTAAGACTAAACTAAATAAAATTCATGCTTTATTCCGTAAATAAAATAAAAGAGCTAACACTGTAGCCTTTACATTTAAAATCATTTGATTGAAAGCAAACTAGCATAATGCTAACTGATAATCACACAAGAGAACAAGAACCTTCGCCGATACCGGCGTACATATATATTATACTCGGCCAACCTGCCGATCTTGACGTCATCGGCCAATCGGCGGCAACCACGTTAGCTTACCGCCGATCGACCTCCGATCAAAATTTGCATGTGGAAAACTAAAGCCAACAAACGGCCCTCTTTTCCCCATGCAAAGTAAAAAACAAAACTTTCACAGAAATATATAGTTCAGTTCTATTATACGAAAACACTTATTGTCTTTAAACAGTGAAAACATCTAAACAAAACTTTCTTAAATTAACAGCAGTCGCTTCTTTTGTAAATAAGTTGGCAGTATTTAATTTACTGGTGATAAATTCAAGGTCAAACACTGCATCATTTACTAGTCTTCTAACAAAGTGATATTTTACGTCTATGTTCTTGGTTCGGCGATTTTCTATTGGCGATCTAGAAAAATCAATGGCAGACTTGTTATCACAAAATAGTTTACACTGTCTTAAATTAAACTTATTAAATTAAATTAAAATTTCATCTTGTAAGACATTTTTCGTCCACATTAATTCCTTCGCTGCTTCAGATAAGGCGATATACTCCGCTTCCATGATTGATAAACTTACACATTTTTGTTTAACAGTTTTCTAGATTATCGGTACTTCATCTAAATATTATATAAATCCTCCCATGGACACGCGGTCATCTCTATTACTTGCATAATCAGCATCTGAATAACAATATAAATTTAGATGTTTAATCTTTGATAAGTTTAACTTTATATAATTTAGTACTATTGAGATAACCAAGCAATTTCAACAATGCTTCCCAATGCCTAATTCCAGGATTCTCCTGAAACTGTGATAAGATATTCACTGCATATGTAATATCAGGCCTTGTCCTGTTAGCTACAAAACTAAACATCCCAACAGATTTCTAAAGGGTAATGTATGCATTTCCGCAATTTCTGCACTTGTAGATGGACAATCTAATTTTGGTAAGAATAGTGCCCTTATCTATGGGAAGTGAAGTTATTGGTATCTGAAAATGTTTAAATTTTTTCAAAAGTTTCTTCTATATATTTTTGCTGATGTATAAAAACCCCATTCTCATTCTCTAAGAATTCAATTCTAAGTAACGTTTTAGTTTTGCCTAATACTTTAAGATCAAAAAAAAACTTACTCAGCTGTGAAATTACTTTATCTATATTATATTGATCTTTACTAAAAATCACAATATCATCTACATATAACAATTAATATATAACAAGAAAATTACATTTGAACTCTTTATAAACACAATTACACCATTGTATTTTCTTAAAATGTAGATTTTCTAAAGTGTACTTTCAAATTCACAAAACCATTCATGGCCGCTTTGATGTAGACCATAAATGTAGCCTTGTGTAATAAACACACTTTATTTTCCTCTTCAATAAATCCCTCTGGTTGGGTCATATATATTTTCTCATTTAGGTTTGCATATAAATATGCATTCTTTACATCTAACTGACAATTAGTCCATCCATATATAACATACCAGTATAGTGAAAAATATTCTTATGATTGAAAAATTTACTACAGGACTGTAAACGTCATGAAAATCTTCACCTCTTTTCTGCCTGAATCCCTGTGCTACTAAGCGTGCTTTGTATCTAACCACTTGATTCTTTTCATTTCTTTTAGCATATATAGACCATTTGTTTCCTAGCATAGTTTTATTTTCTGGCTTTTCGACTAATTCCCAAACCTTTCTTTCTTCATTGTGTCATTTCTTCTTTCATTGCCTTATCCCATTCTTCGGCATTTACTGATTTTCGTGCTTCTTTAAAATTTTGTGGGATAACAATTTCTACGGAATTTGCCTCTTCAGACACAGGAGCTAGTCTCCTTTTCTACGAAATAAATTAACTTTCCCCGAGTATTCGTTTTTCCACTAAAATCAAACTTATCTTTTTCAAATTTAATATTTCTTGCCTCACAATACATTTCAATATCATTATAGGATCTAAAACGGGTGTCTGTTCCCTCTACATAATAATATATGTCTGTACATGTGTTTCGTCTGGCCTTTTAACTGCTTTTCTTTGCCAGTTTTAAGTCTGATACTTCTTTTTCGGGGTAGATTTGTCATCTGACAACTTTATTTCTTCTCTAGAAGTTTCCTGTTCTTCATCTGATTCTGCTAATAGCTCAGATTCCTCTAGTCTTTTAAACTTAGTTTTTGATTTCTGTTCCAGGATGCCATTTGCTGCATACATTGTTTTTCAAATTCGAACTTCACATTACAGGTTTCTATTAATCTGCGTTCTTCTAATAGCCACCATATCCTATAACCCCTAGTTTCCTTCGCATATCCCTACCATGATTCCTTCTTTGCACCTCATTTGTAATTTATTTCTAATCTGTTTTGGCACACCAACATAGGCTTTACAACCAAATATTTAAAATAAACAACACTGGGTTTTCTTATTTAGGAAACATTTCATAAGGGGTTCAGTTGCTTTTATGACATACTCTGTTCCATCGTATGTACGAAAACAGCCAAGAGCTTCTGCCCACCATTCTTTTCCATTTTACCATCATTAAGCATAGCTTTAACTGCGTCTAATGCCGTTCGGTTAAAACACACACACCGTTCTCTTCTGGGCTGTACGCGTTTGTGCGTTCAACACTAATTCCATTTTCGGCTAAGTACCCTTCGAATTGCCTGTTGCAGAATTCCCACCATTATCGGTGCGTATACTTATTAATTTCCTATTCGTCAGTCTTTCCATTTGCCTATGATAATTCTTAAAGTTGTAGAATGATTTTTTTTTTCATACAATACACTGTTACTAATCTACTATAGTCATCCACAATAGCAAGGAAATATTTACTCCCACCGTTAGATGGAACTGGTAGTGGGCCACAAACGTCTAAATAAACCGACTGCAATGGTTATTTGATCTCTTCGGAACAGTTTAAAAAGTTATTCTACTAGATTTAGCAATAATACACGGTTCACACCTCTCCATTATTGGTTTTTCAATTTCTGGTAACCCTTTCACGCTTTGATTCTTACTAGTATTCTTAACATAATCAAAATTTACGTGGCTAAATCTCCGATGCCATAGCATTGCATCGTCTACTTTATTTAACTTTCCAATTTCTGTACCGTAACCAGCTTCCTTTTTATTTATTGCATATCTAAATGGCTTTACATGATAAAGTCCGTCATATCGTTTAGCGTAGCATAATCTATCCCAATTATTAAAGTATATCCATATCTTGCCTTTTGAAATCACAAAATGAGCATCTGTCCTTTTTCTAACCTTGCTCCCGATAGTAAATTTCTTTCTTAGATTTGGATTATATAACACATTATCCTAACTCAATCCAATTTAATTCGATTGCCTACTTTTACTGCAAATTTAACGGTACCCTTTTCTAGTTCTTTACTTTCACAATTTCCTACAGCTAAAGACATACGTATATCGTTTATTTCTTCGAAATTTGTCATTAAATTTCTATTATTACAGAAATGAGTTATAGCTGTAGTATCTACGACCCAATTAAATTTATCTGTGTTACCTCCTTTATCTGTAGTTGTTGCATAATTTTCTGTTAACATTAATTCTTTATCTTTATACTGTCCATGTTTATCGTCTATTTTAAACTTCTGATTTTTACTTACATTTTCTTTACATTGAGCGATTACGTGTCCAAATTTATGACATCTGAAACCAGGTCCTCTTCTCATATTCCCCATTTTTTTTCTTAGACTTAGTTTTATTTTCAACTATATCTTTCCCTACATTTGAACTAATAGTATTAAACACACTTTCCTTGCTGCTGTCTTCTAAATCAGCATTTTACCTGGCGAAGTTGGCTTTCTTCCCTTACCATTTCTTCAGCAATTTTTTCCAGTGTAAAATCTTTGTCCTTCCACCTATAGATCAACTGTACAATGCTGGAGTATTTCTGGGGTAATCTCCTTATTGCCTGAAATCCTTTAAAAGGATCTGCCAAGTTGTGTCCAGCTTCAGCCAATTTCTTTGCAGTCTTTCTTATCCTCGCGATGAATAACCCTATTTCTTCATTTGGTGTATATCTAATACTAAAAAATTCATCCAGTAACTGAATTATCCTTGCTCTTGTTTTGGGTTCGAATTGCTTCTGTAGAACTTCCCATGCTTCTTTACCACTTGAACATTCTTGTATCAGCGGCCTGAACTCAGCTTTAATTCCGTAATATATGTAGTGAAGGCTCTATTTCTCTCTCGGTGAACTCCTGCTTTTCACGCCTTGTTGCACTTTTATCTAATTCTTCTTCTTTGTCCTCTATGAAGCTCCAACAATTCTATCCAGTAACAGCATTTTCATGTCGACTTTCCATCGATCCCAGTTGTCATGGTTTAACAACTCAAAACCTTCAGGTAGTAATGACATCTTCAATTAAGTGTGAGCACAACGACTTGAACAAACTTCTAAGACAGGTCAGCTTCTTTTCGTGGATAACGGCCCTCTTCACCTACATTCCTTCAATGCTGAGTTGAACTGGATGACTGATTAGCTGTTGGCACTGGGCCCATAACCCTGTTGGCAGTGGTGATAAAGGCAAAGTATATTTTGCTTTCCTTAAATAAAGCTAAGACTAAATAAAATTCATGCTTTATTCCGTAAATAAAATAAAAGAGCTAACACTGTAGCCTTTACATTTAAAATCATTTGATTGAAAGCAAACTAGCATAATGCTAACTGATAATCACACAAGAGAACAAGAACAAGAACCTTCGCCGATACCGGCGTACTTATATATTATACTCGGCCAACCTGCCAATCTTGACGTCATCGGCCAATTGGCGGCAACCACGTTAGCTTACCGCCGATCGACCTCCGATCCAAATTTGCATGTGGAAAACTAAAGCCAACAGGAACTTGCAAAGGATCTACGAAACGAAAGTATGTTTCGATGTCCAACAAACCAAAAGTGGAATTGCTGCAAAAAATGGATAAAGACATGAAGAATGTGACAGAGAGGTTAGTGAAAACGAAAAAATTTCGATTGACTAGTTAGTCAGTATTCTCGGCACAGCAATTAACGGGACTTGAACAGTGGAACTTTGTAACTGAACAAGAAATTATGTCTTTTTATAGAATTAAAGAGAAAGTATTATCACATAAAACAAAGCAACTTAAACAACTTACATTGAAAGAAATGTTTAATAAAGTAAACAAATAAATATTAAGCTTTTTTTTTTTTCTTTCTTTTTTTTTGTGTGTGTGTGTGTGTAAATTTTGATACCCTTTAGATCATAATTGCTCTTTATTTCATAAATTACGGTTTCATATTTTCAATTTTATAATTTCTGCATGCCATCTTACCAGATTTAAACTGATGATCTATAAACCGGAAAAATCAATAATCTGGAATCGCCGAAGTCCCGACGAGTTCGGATTAACGGCTTTTTACTGTATGTTCTTGGTTTATCAGTTTTCTTAGCATACTTCTGGTTAGATTCTTCAGATGGATGGCACTTGTGTTATTACAAGTTAACCATATTTCTTGAATACTAATGTGATGCTACAGGATTTGAGCAACAAGGCTATGTTCTAATAAATTTGTTTCTATTTTGTTTTCGTGTGGAGCATTACATTAGTTGAATCTTTTGTCATAATCTGCCATAATTTTCCAATTGGATATTTCTTCAAACACCTTCTGATGTCTATTATTTCTTGGAATCCATTAGATGAATTCGTTAGGAATTCTGTTTTTATGACTGGAATGTAAAGCAGGTTTTGTCAACTCTTTTCACATTTTGGTTGAAGTATGCGGGAATTTCAAACATGTTTTATTTATTAATTGAATCTAATAACTAATGACTACAAATAATTGTTTATACCATGTGTTATTTTGTATTTAAGTCAGTTAGTTATATACATAGCTTTTGTAGCACATTCTTAATTTTGTAATATTTGGCTAAAGACCATGCGAGAATTGCAAAAGGCTATCAAAGTTTGAAAATGAAAACTATGAAAGCTCATGGTTTCATAAATTCTTTCTTATGTCTGCATGTTATAAGATTTTATATAACCCTGTAAATTTATTTTAGAATATATTGTTTATTTTAATATTCATTGATACTCTTACTTCTTATTGAAAACATTTCTACATTCATATAGCTGAAGCATCTTTTTCTGTGTAACATTTTCTCTATATAGGTTACTGATAATTTTTTTGACTGAAAATGTATATCTGTTGAAAGTACAATTAGGAATTCTTCCATTTTAACACATTCTGTGAATAGAATAAAGAAAAATGTTATTTATAATTTTTTGTGTTTTTATTATTAGTTTCTATATGCTATCCATATTTTTTATTTGTGTGTTGTGCTGTTTATAGGTTTATGCGTGGGGGGATAATGATCATGGCCAACAAGGGAATGGAACAACTACAGTCAATCGTAAACCTGCTTTAGTGCAAGGCTTGGATGATGTAAAGATAACTCGTGTTGCTTGTGGCTCTTCACATAGCATAGCATGGACAACTATTGAAGTACAAACTCCAAGACTGCTTGATCCAGTTTTATTTCCGGCACCACGGGATCCTCTTGGTGCTTTATCTCTTGGTAATTTGTATTTCTGAAATATTTTTTAGATATAAAAGCATAGTGCTCATATTATTTGGAATAACATCTTAAAGGAGTTTTAATCTCTTGTATCCTTTTTAATTTTTTTTTTCTTTTTAAACTGTATTAGCTTATTACAATTAAAATTTAGTAATTTTGATTATACCTCTTACTGTGAATAATCTTACATACCTTTTGGGTGTACATTGCAACTTAAGTTTTTTTAGTATGTTTGAAACATTAAAATTTTAATGCTTTTCTAGGAAAGAATGATTCTTCTTTGCCAGATGAATTAGATGCCACGTCAAGTAACAAAACATGTTTTCCTTGTTCAAAAGAAACAACGCGTCCATCTTTGACAAAGATTGTTTTATCATTGAATACTGATCTTGCAAGGCAACAAGCTCTTCACAATATTTTACTAGCAATGCAGATACATTTAGCTAGGTATTGCATTTGTTTTTGTTTATAGAACTTTTTAACAATAATCCATGTATTCTTTATATAATCTTGTTTTTCAATTTACTCAAAATTCTTAGATGTAAATATTCCTCTCAGCTTTGCAAAATTTCAATAGAGGAAATAAATGACCTTTAAAATCTTATAGTGGAACTAAATTCAAAAAATGCATTTAATGGCCTACTAGTAACTGAATGCTTGAAGCCAAGGAACAGATGCTTAATGAACCTTTTTGTTGCTTGTATCAAAACATTTTTACTCTCTCTCCTGTCCGTTGAGAAAAACTATTTTAAATTAAACTTCTGGATTATATTTATTTCAAGATCATTTTCTGCTTTGGAAATATTTTTCACTCTATTATTAAAATTGCTGAATTCAGATTGTTGTCAGCATAGTGTATTTATGATATCCAGTTGTCTCTGTAAAATTTTGCATATGTTCCTTCAGGGTTGCCATTAATATTTATTGCTTCATCATTGTGCAATAGTACTTGAGTCATGAGTTGTCCATGAATTTCTTTTTCTTTTTTTTTCTTTTATTATTATTATTATTATTATTATTATTATTATTATTATTATTATTAATGTTTGGTATACAATCCCATCTTAAAAAGGTGCACTTACAGAATAGGTGAAAATAGACGGGATAATGTTGATGATCACAAATTCAATTGTAATTCCTAACTGACTAAATAAATAAAATATTTAACATACAACTATCATAAATTTTAATCATTTCTGACATTTGCATGTTAAATATTTTGTTTTACCATGTAGAAATGAAATTTTGCAAATCCTGAATGCATTTTAAAAGATTTTTTTTTTTCATGTGTTAATGTAATTCGATGTCAATTAAATTAAAAACAGTCTCCGAAAGAGTCTGGAAAGAGAAATTCATTGATTCAAAAATTATGACTTGCTGCATTGTCCAACTTGAAACTGTGCAGTTAAGCATAGTTGAAGCCTGTAACAAGGAAAGTCTTCCAACTTTGAACGTCAGACTCATTTGAAAAATCAAAGCTGATTCTATGCATTCAGAAACAGCAAAATCAATTAAATTTAGCAATTATGTATAATTAAAAAAAATTAATTGTGTTTTGGGATTCTAACAGAAATTTGGTGACATTTTAAGTGGTGATAAGTTACAGAACAGCCCTTCACGCTTTTACACGTATCTACCATGTGAATGGAATTTACAGGTACTTTTTTGAGGAAGGGGGAGGCTGTTATGTATTTCTAAATTTTCAGATTGTTGAGAAATATTTGGCCTTATTTAGTGTGTACTCATAGAAAGAGCTTCTATATCCTTCCATAAATTTTAAAGGCCAATACTTAGAGTTAAGAAGCCATCGTAGGACAACAATATAGATACGTAAAAATTAAGATTCCACGTGTATCAATGCATTTACTCTAGAATAAAGAATCTGCAAGCATGAGAAAAGCATTTCGAAAACCTGGAAAATATATCTGCAGATATGGTCATTTTTAAATAACCTTTTTATCTGCCTTTTTATGAAAGTGTTCAAGGTGATCCAGTAATATATTATGCAGAATTTACTAATATGTCTATATTTATGCAATAGACTGTTATATTTCTGCCTTGCACATCTGTAAGAAAATTTGAAGGGATTACTGTTCACGATACGTATAGATGAGTTAAAATATGCTTCTTAACTTATAAGCTATGAAGATAGTTTTCAGAGATGCTTTCAGTACAAATACCCTGAATAATATATTGCACTGTATTTTGTATAAATGTAATGTCACGAATAAATTGTCTATACTTAATTTATTTTTGTAAAATTCATGAAGTAATTATATAGAAATTTGTTATTTGTTAAATCATGATTAACATTTTATTCATATAAAAAGTGTGAAAGTATCAGGAAATCTATCTGTGTCTCTTCCCTAAATGATCACATTTAAAAGTGACTATTATTTATGAAAGCCTATATTAAGATTACTGTTAACCATAATTTCTCTATGAAATCTCTGCACGGAAGGTCGAGATGTTGTAAAACGGTGGATAATTGATTGGTTGAACGGTGGATAATTGATATTTGATTCGTTCTTTTGTTATTGAAACCTTGCACTTTATCATATTTGTTCAGCGGGCTGCTTTTCTTGTCAAATGGTCAGGGAACAATTATCAAAGAATTAGCGTTTTGCCTTTTGTTTGTTCTTTAGGGGTGAGAGAACTGTTTTTTTAAGGTGGTTCCTGAACTAAAATCTGCTTTCATATCTGAAAGAGTTTTAAAATTACACATAATTTATTTGTGTAAAATGGTGTTGGCATTGTACACTGCACAAAAAAAAAAAAAAAAAGGGACAGTTCTATATCTCCCATTCTACTGGGCTGATAGATGAAATTCAACTTGACTTAGAATATGTATTAGATTTATATATAGCGCTGTTCTAATATAGATATTTTGACACAAAATCAGACCTTTATCTGAAATGACGTGCCAAATTTTTGCCATATTTCACTTCTACGACTGAAATTATGCCAAACTGCCAACTTTTGTAAAAATGGCACAAGTAGTTTTTAAAAAATTAGTTCTCAAAATTTTTGTTCCTCAGTGTTAATTGAATTTGATATATATTCATTAATATCTCTTTTTTATTAAACTTTTTTTTCCTTCTTCCAGAATTCAAAATTTAGGCTTAATTTAAATATAATTCGCACATTTTTTCCGATTTATTTTTTAAATTTGTATTTTAAAATATTTTTTATACATTTTTCAAAAATTTTTGTATTATAACCTGTAAAATATTTAACGTCATCTTAAAGTAGATGTATTTCTACTCATACCTGCAAAAAAATTATAGTTTTTCATTTAAAATTTTCTAAAATATACATAAATTTACACACTGGTCTTTTTTGAAGTTTTTCATATTTATTATAAGCGGTAATAATGCCAAATATCTCACTTTGTTAAAATTATTTGAAAGGATAACCAATGACTTTTTTTTCTGCTCATCTACAATGGAAAGTTGCTAGAAATCAAGAACTTTGCAAAGTAAATTATTCTTGGTGAAAAAAGAAAAAAAAAAGGAAAAATAAACACACCAAGATAAATTTTTGAATTTCTCCATAAATTTCACACCAAATTTTACAAAATTTAATATTTAGGCATAATTTGAGTCGTAAAATCGAAATATGGAAAAAACTTAGCATGCCATTTCAGGAAAAGTCCGAGTTTATGTCAAAATACCTACGTTAGAATGATGCTATATATAAATCTAATATATATCCTAAGTCGCGCTTGCAAGACATGAAAAATGCAATTTGAATTTCGTCAATCGGCCCAGTAGAACGGGAGATATAAAACTGTCCCATTTTTTCTTAAAACTGTGGAACACAAATGTGAGATAAAATATAATTCTAACAATTTCCAATAAGAATATTCTTATACCATGCAAAAATGAGTAAAGAATTAAATCAACTTTCAATTTTTCATATTTATTCAGAGTGAAAGGATTGAGAGTATTTTTCATGCATAGCAAGAAAATTTAAAATCCATCATTTTATTTCAAAAAATGCATGAAATCCCAAAAATTATATAAGACAGTTAAAAATATCCATTACTAAACAATTTTCAAAAGTCAAACTTTAGAAATCTTACACATTTTGTTTTGATTGCGTTGATTTAGTTATGAGGAGTGGTGAACTATAGAGGACTGTCGCGAGCTCCTTGTTATTTTTGCCTTTAATTTGCAAGTCCCTTGTTTGTTTCATTTGCCTATTTGTATTGTAGAGACATTAGGTTAATTGGAAAAGCCAGAGAGATGAAAAATTGAGCAATCGCCTTTCCCAGGAATCGAATCACGGACCTATGGAATACTGACCGAGCGTGCAGAACCACTACACCATGAAGGAAGGCGGAAGAAATACCTTATATACTCTTCCTTTTGAAGGGCGACTGGGTTTTATATATATATATATAGGGGACCCAGTCGCCAAATCCTGGGTGAAGAGAATCATCATCCAACACCCTTTTTAGTTAGAGCGCCACTGTAGAAACAATAGGTACTTTTTGAAGCAGTCGAGATTAAAAATTAGCAATGCCATCATCAGGAATCGAACCACGGTTCTCTGAAATACCAGCCCAGCATGCAGAACCACTACACTACAAAGGCACACTAGGAGAAACACCTTAAAGTATGTTCCAAGAAAAATATGTCTTCCATGTCATAACCATACTTTGCCAAGCATTAAATTGTATATTAAAGCAGGAAATAATAAATTATTTTCAAAATTTCATTGGCTTGAGCAAGAAAACTGCACAATGAAATTTCTAGTAGTGTAGAGAAATCTAAAGTGAGTATATAAACTACCCCTGTTTTTCAACACCATGTCTAAGTGTTTTTCAACACTTAGACTGTTTAGACACTTTCCCCTGTTTTTCAACACCATGTCTAAGTTTCATAGACGTCTAGAAGGTGTTGCCTCAAGCCATTTTAAGAGTATATAATGTGTTGTAATAGTAATATTGAAGCTGAATGTGCTTTAAGCTCATTGAACAATATTTGCACAAAAAAGATCTTATTTGACTGTAAAATATGGTAAGATTCATTCACAGTGCCCTAAATTAGTGTCCCAGTAGTGGTTGAGAGTTTAAATGCTGCTGAATGCTGGAAGTCTGAACTCCTAAAAAGTCCTTCACAAAGACAGCCCTTGTGTGCTTTGCCACACTCAAGTAACCTAGCCTATCGTAAATCCGAAACCTCTAAAATAATTTAATCCTAAATCTTATGTAAATTTTGATACCTTTTAGATCATAATTGCTCTTTATTTCATAAATTATGGTTTCATATTTTTAATTTTATAATTTCTGCATGCCATCTTACCAGATTTAAATTGATGATCTATAATCCGAAAAAACCCCTAATTGGGAATCACCGAAGTCCTGACGAGTCTGGATTAAAGACTTTGTACTGTATTCTGTTCAGGCTGCTTCACGTAGATGGCCTTCACATGTTTTCTAT